GGCTTGGAAAGGGACTAAGGGTCTAAAATTAACCACATAGGACCGAGTTTTCTAATCATATTGATGGTAAAAAAAATTTAGTTATTGCAAGAAAAGAAAAAAAGCAACTAAAAAGTAGAACACAGATTAGATGAGAGCATAAATAATTCACTTCACAATGACACAAAAAAAGTGGTTGACACACCAAAATTTAGTTCATGAGTTTTAGTGGAATCATATAAACATATGAGGAAGCCATGAAAGTAAAAAATTCATGAATGTTGGAACACATAAAGAAACATAGACTAGAGCTAGTTGCAACATCTACAACGTTTTGTAATTATTCACAAGGAGTTTTGGCAGATAGTGGAAGAAAATCTGCCAAGATCACAAGTTTGAAGCCTGGTCAACTCTTAGTTATAAAACATTTGACAATCATAAGCTTTCAATGCATATTTTTAATTTTCATGTTTTTGAAATTCGAACCTGTGTAGTTGAGCTTGTAAACACAACCAACAAAAAAGCCATCTTTATAAGTTCTTGAAAAATGGAAGAACTAGATGGAATAGGAGAACACAAATTGTCACACCCCCAAACCAGAACGGCGGAAACGTTCGGGGGCGGAGGACGTCATATTCAGTATCATAACAATTGAATAGTAAAGAAAGTACAGACCACCATAACATATATATTTGAAAAGTTTACATGATTGTAAGTGTTACATGTTTGAATATCAAATATAATATGGTGATCCAAAAATATGTTACTAACGCCAGCGCGTTAGTCTTCAAAATTAGTTTCTACCTGGCTTAGCGATTTCCTGAGAATACAAGTTATTTCAAAGAAAAAGTGTCAACATTTAAGTTGGTGAGTTCATAAGTATATGTTTGTATAAATATATGCCATTCGAAAGTTTCGTGTTTGTTTTCCAGAAAATCTGATATTTTCTCATAAAAGGAGTTATGAATCTTTGTTTGTATAGAATGAATGTGTCGAACTAGGAAAAACCTATATTTTCCTAACAGTGGAGAGTAGTCTATGATTTTGTAAGTAAATATGTCATACTAAAAATAATGATGCATAGTTTTATTAGTAAACAAAACTATAAGAAGTTTGTAATTTGGCGCAGGAAAAAC